GCATCATTTCTAACGACCATCACTGTCTACTCTCTTTTATCTACATCATTTATCCGTCGTTTTGCAACAGCATCACTGTCCACCTTCTTCTAACGACATCACTGTCCACTTCTTCCATCAACATCATTGTCCACTTCGTCTATTTAATAATTTTGAATAAACATTATTGCTTGAAAATGAGAATATATCAATTGAAAAAGTGTCAAATTTTACAACTTCCATATACCTTTCGTACAATACTTTTTTTTTTACCTCAACTTCATCATTTAAATTATTACTTATCCAGCGTGACTTCCTTACCTGTATACCATAGAAGCCTTTTTACCTGTATATCACAATATGTATTGATATGTTGGTACTAAATAATTCCATTTTTGATAACATTTTATGTACAAACATCTATTATAAATAATAATTTTCTTATTCTTTCGAACAAAACTTTGAATGAGTAAAATGTTAAACTTAACGAAATTTTATAAAATTTCCACTAATGTAAGCATGTTAAATAGTTAATCTATTCTTCAATTAAGCTTTTTAACAGAAAATAAACAAATATGCCATTTTGTCATCTACCAAAAAAATTTAATTTGTTTCAATTCAATTAACTGCAAAGGACTGTTATTTAAAAATGATGCAAACAAATAAATGAATTATTAATCAAAGATGAAATAACTCAGCTTTTTTTCATGTTTCCTTTTTATATTTCTCGAAAAAAAAAAATTGGGAAAGAATTAGTAGTATCAGTAAAGAAATGATGTAATAAATTGACATCATAATAAACAACTATCGATAATCAATGCATGAAATGATTGAATTGAAATAAATGGAAATATGGATGTCAAATGGTTCATGACAGCGAGACGCTAATAAAAGGTTGAAATACAAAATGTTTCCTCAAAAAAAGTACAAAGTTTCCTGTAAATAGAATGATGAACAGGTATGATAATCATCGATCAAAAAAAAAAAAAAGATAAATGAAACGATTGGGTTGTTATTTATCGGAACAATTGTAATTTACCTAAAAAAAGAATTTTCAAGTGATCATAATTGTTGTAAAATATCTTAAAATGAGCATTAAAAACCATAAAAGATAAAATTAAAAATAGAAATATTTGGTTTTTTCTTTATGTGATAAGAAAATTACAAAATGAAATGATATCTTTAGCCAGAAGTTAACTTAACAAAAATTACGCCTATAATTAAATTTCTAACTGAAAATAAAAGGAGGATTTGACAAAAATGTTAATCTTAAAACCGCGCAAAGAAACATTGGTAATTATTTCAAAATATTAAAACTTCTCGATAAGATAAAACTTTAAAAAAAAACTTTCGAAAGATAAAACATTCAAAATATTGAAATTTTTTGATAATTTAAAAGCTGGAAAAGTTCAAAAGTTATGACAAAGTAAAATTCGAAAAAGAGGAAGCAAAGGAATTTATTGGCATAATAATTGATAATTTATTGTTGTACCATAAAATGCTTCGTCATGATCCGATGACAAGAGCGCATGAAATAATAAAATAATGATTTGAAGCTCGTCCTATTGCTTTTCATATTGATAGGCCATTTTTCATATTGATAATAACAAAAATATCATTTCGTCTCGTTCATTGTTATCATTTTTAACTGATTAGTAAGCAAAGTGCAAA